AAGTGCTGGGATTATAGGCGTGAGCCCCCGCACAGGGCCTAAAAATCTAGATTTAATGTCAGAGATAATCTTCTCAAAAATACTTTTTAAAAGATGCATTTTTTGTTTAATCATCCTGGCAAATATTTCAGGAAATTCCTTGAATGCCATAAAAATACATGTAAATTTATTAAAAATATGTGTGCTGTTGACCAGGCTCAGTGGCTCACACCTGTAATCCCAGCACTTTGGGAGGCCAAGGTGGGCAGATCACCTGAGGTCGGGAGTTTGAGACCAGCCTGGCCAACACGGAGAAACCCTGTCTCTAGTAAAAAATACAAAATTAGCCGGGCGTGGTGGTGAATGCCTATAATCCCAGCTCCTCAGGAGGCTGAGACAGGAGAATCGCTTGAACCCAGGAGGTTGAGGTTGCAGTGAGCGGAGATTGCGCCATTGCACTCCAGCCTGGGCAACAAGAGCGAAACTCTGTTTTAAGAAACAAAACGAAGAAAAAAATATATATGGACTGTCGAGGTAAACACTAACTGAAAATAATATTTCTCTGGGCCGGGAGTGGTGGCTCACACCTAGAATACCAACACTTTGGGATACAAAGACAGAGAATGGATTGAGCTCAGGCATTCAAGTCCAGTCTAAGCAACATAGTGAGACCCTGGTGGCTACAAGAAATAGAACCATTAAAATTAGCGGGCATGGTGGCGCACACCTCTAGTCACAGCTACTTAGGAGGCTGAGGTGAGAGGATCACTGGAGTGTGGTAGGCAGGGGTTGCAGTGAGCTGAGATCGTGCCACTCTGCACACCTGCATTGGCGACAGTGAGACCCTGTCTCGAAAATCAAAAAAGTATTTCTCTATCAATCTGATTACTCTATGAAATGAAATACAAAATATTAAATTTAACTGTGCTCTGTTTTCTTCTTCTTTTTTTTTTTTTTTTTTGAGGTAGGGTCTCACTCTGTTGCCCAGGCTGCAGTGCAGTTGTGCAAACACAGTTCACTGAAGCCTCGACCTCCCAGGCTCAAGCGATCCTCCAGACACAGCCACCTGGGTAGCTGGGACTACAGGTGCACACCACCATACCCAGCTAACTCTTTTTTTTTTTTGGTAGAGACCGCGTTTCCCTATGTTGCCCTACTTGTGTTCTTTTTCTTGAATGATACATGGCAAACAGTTACTGAATTTTTGCTGCCTCCCTTAATTCGTCTTCATCCATACACAATTTCCTTTACTATTAACCTGAGAACTGTGAAAGGAAACTTTTACACATGGTTAAAAAAAAGCGTCATGTTTTAAACGTGATCTCATTTTTGCTTAAATATATAATATATAAAGGAAAGAAACAATGATTCAGTAGGCCAGCTCTACTTTTTTGTTCATTCCATGTTTCCACTGGCCCTTAAAACACTTTCAACTCACACCTAAGGGCCAGGTAACATCTCCAATCTCTAAAAAGTTTGCATTAGTAGAAACAACTTGATTCAAAATGTCACTGGCTTCTTGTCAGTGTACACCAATGCAAAGGGCACAGTCCTAACGTCTTTAATGAAACAAGCGAGTACCATCTACTGCGAGAGCAATGACAGTCACGCAGCCTGCGGGGGAGCCTTGCCACTCGCTCCGTGACCTAGGGTAAGTTACTCAACCCCACTGCGTCTCCCTTTCCTCATCTGTTAAAAATAAAGCACGGTGGAAACAGCGTTTGCACTCCTCGGGTGGTGTGAAGATGGAGCGCGTTCTGTGTGTAAACCTGCTCGCGACCAGTGCTCGGGATGCGTTGGTCGCTATCACCACCATCCTCCGCCCCGGGTCGTTACTTCAGAGCTCGGAGGACGACCTCCAAATTAAAGTTACAATATCCGCGAGGGACTCGGTCCTCTTCCGCATCCCCTAGCAGCTGGGGATTTGTTTTCAAGCGAGGATACAAGGAGGCTTCACGCCCTAGAAGCGCACCACATTGGCGCTGCAGGGGAGGCGGGGGCACGCGGCCTCCTCGGCGTCCGGAGCCGGCCCAGCGAGCAGAGGCCCGCCCCGTCCCCAAAGAACAGTCCCTTCCCGCGAGGGGTCACAACCCGGGCCTCTCAGCTTGCCCCCGCCCCGCAACTTCGGTCCCAGGCTAGGGGCCCCAAGCCTCAGAGCCACGAGAGTTCTAGAACCCCCGAACACCGGCCCCCGCACCACAGCCCGCCATTCAACCGCTCGCGCCCGGGCCTTACCAGGTCGATGTGGGAGAAGCCGGTGAGCACGAGGTTCTTGAGGAGCTCGCAGCCAATGCCGCCCGCGCCCACCACCAGCACTCGGCCCCCGGCCACCGCCTCAGCCAGCTCCCGGGGCAGCCCCCGCGACAGTGCCATGGCGGGACAACCACGAGCGCGGCAGAGGCGGAGGCGGGAGAACCGAGCCTCGGCCGGAAGCGGCTGGGGGAAGGGCGACCCGGCTTCCGCTCCTGCGCACTGTGGCCTCCAGCAGTCACAGGCGGGGTCCGGCGGGCCAGACCCGGCGGTGCTGAATGCTCCAGGCCCGGGCCTGATCTTGCAAAAACCTGGAGACCTCCCACTGGGGCTGGCTGTGTTATTCCCACACGAGCACAGGCCCACCATCAGGCCTAAAAAGTCCAAGGGTCGCCTTCTAACCTGGGGTTTCAACTCCCAGCCAAGACTTCCATACAGGTTAGAAAACTGATACTCCTATACATAAAGAGCTCTTACAAATTAAGAGTCACCCCTAAAAAAATATAGGCAAAGGATGTGAACAGGAAACTCACAAATAATTGGACAACATGATCAATAAGCCTTCAAAATATAAACCATTGAAGAATCGTTTGAAACTTGGAGGTGGAGGTTAGAGTGAGCCAAGATCGCGCGACTGCATTCCAGCCTGGGCAACAGATCTACACTCTTATCCCCCCTCCCAAAAAAAAAAAAAAAAAAAAAAAACCGCCAGGCTGAGTGGCTCACGCCTGTAATCCCAACACTTTGGGGAGCCGAGGCGGGAGGATCATGAGGTCAGGAGTTCGAGACCTGCCTGACCACCGTGGTGAAATTACAAATACAAAAATTAATTGGGCGTGGTGGCATGCGTCTGTAATCCCAGCTACTCAGGAGGCTGAGCCAGGAGAATGGCTTGAACCCGGGAGGCGGAGGTTGCAGTGAGCCAAGATTGTGCCAGGGAACTACAGCCTGGGCAACAGAGCAAGACTCCGTCTCAAAAAAAATTATAAACCATTCACAATGGTATTAAGATTTTCACCAGCCGGGCGCAGCGGCTCACGCCTGTAATCCCAGACTTAGGTGGGCGAATGACGAAGTCAGGAGTTCGAGACCAGCCTTACCAGCATGGTGAAACACCATCTCTACTAAAAATACAAAAATTAGCTGGTCATGGTGGAGCGTGCCTGTACTCTCACCTACTCAGAAGGCTAAGGCAGGAGAATTGTTCGAACCAAGGAGGCAGAGGTTGCAGTGAGCCAAGATCGCACCACTGCACTCCAGCCTGGGCAACACAGCGAGACCGTCTCAAAAAAAAAACAACAGCCAGGCATAGTGGCACAAGCCTTTAGTCCCAGCTACTCAGGAGGGTGAGGCAGGAGAATTGCTTGAACCCAGGAGATGGAGTTTGCACCACTGCACTCCACCTACTAAACTGGTAGAAGGAAAAAAAAATAACACTTAACAAGGGATTGAGAAACAACCACTCCCACACTCCAGGTAAGGATTCCAAAGCAAAACTTCTCTAGAGGGCGTGGTGGCTTGCACTTGTAGTCCCACGCTACTTAGGAGGTTAAGGCAGGAGGATCACGTGAGCCTGGGAGGTCGAGGCTGCAGTTAGCTATGACCTCACTACTGCACTCCAGCCTGAGAGAGAGAGCAAGACCCTGTCTTGGCAAAAAAACAAAACTAAACCTAAAATTGTGCACAACTTTTGACTTATTCATTCCAGTTCTAAGAAACTGTCCTGTAGCAGTTATCACTTATTAAAAAAAAAAATTCGCTATAGGGATGGTTATCATGGGAATAAAAATTGGAAAACACAAGTGGTTAGAAATTGTATAAAGCTTTTGATGTATATTTTAAAAATGCTTTACAGCAAGTATAAATTATGTTGTGGGAAAAATATTAATGGGGAAATGCTCAAATATAATGTTAAATGCAAAAGAGAAAACCCCACCCCATGATCACCTGGACCTCATTATCCTCATCTACACAGCAGAACATGTCTGAACATTGCTGGGAATGTTTTTATACTGCTATTATGGGGCTGAAGAAGGAAAAGGGTTGATAATGTTAAAAGTAAATAAAGAAAGGGGAGACGGGCCAGGCATGGTGGCTCACACCTGTAATCCAAGTACTTTGGAGGCCAAGGCGGGCAGATCACTGAGGTTGGGAGTCCAAGACTAGCCTGACCAACATGATGAAACCCCCTCTTTAAAAAAAAAAAAAAAAAAGGAAGAAAGGGGAGACTGGAAGGCAGCTGATAAAGGGACAGCATCCAGAAAGGAATAAAGACTCCTTCTTGGGATGCTGCAGAAGCAGAAGGTGGGAGTGGGTGAGGGCAGTGACCTGAGCTGATGAACATGGGCAGGTCTAAACAACCAGGGTTACAGAGCCAGAACCTCCAGCAGCTAGAGCAGGTTCAGTGGCTTTATAAGGTGCCAGGAATAGCATAGGGAGCACTGGAGTGCAGGTGTCAGAGGGGTAAACAAGAAACTGACCACTGCTCTTGGCTCTTTTCCTGCTCTCCCACCCAGTTAGAATGCCGACTGGGATGGCTGTGCAGGTAACACCAGCCCTCTGGACTAGAGAGGCACTACCTTCCTAGCTGCCACTGATACAGCTGGCCCTGGACCCTGGAAGGGTAGACCAACCCACAGTTAGGAGGTCCTGGCCCAGCCCCAGCCCCAGCCCCAGGCCCAGCCCCAGCACCGGCACCCAAAGACAAAAAGGCAACTCAGGAAAACAAAGGTTAATAACTTGTGAGTTAAATAAGGTACATACACCACATATTTGGACATGAAAATTTGTTTTAATTTACATTAATGAAAGGAAATGCTCTACTTAAACAATAATTCATCTGGGTCTTCTTGTATAATACAGAATTCTTCAATGGGGGTCTGATGATTTTGGGGCCAGCAACTCTTCTCACATGTATAAACTAGAATTGTTCCAAATTCCACAGAAAGACCTGAAAAATACAACATATTCAGGCTTCCAGCAAAAAGAGTTATGAGACTGATGTTACTAAAAGGAGCGATTTTACCTTAGAAACTGAAAAAATAATTAGGTAAAGCAAAAACAGTGCTTACTGCTTTCAGCTGTAACAAAATCATAGTCTATCCTGTAATAAGTGAACATTGATAACAAAAAACAGAGTTAATTTAAAGTGGCAGAAAAATATACTTTAAAAATAAACAAAAATTTCAACATGTCTTCATTACAACTGTCTAGACTATCTGATGTTGAAAATCTATATTAAAATATATCACACAGCTTCTGACTAGGTGTGGTGGCTTATGCCTATGATCCGAGCACTTTGGGAGGCCAATGGGGGAGGACAACTCGAACGCAGCCTAGGTAACATAGTGAGATCCCTGGCTCTACAAAAAAAAAAGTACTTAAAAACAAAAAAGAGCCGGGTGCGGTGGCTCACACCTATAATCCCAGCACTTTGGGAGGCCAAGGTGGGTGGATCAAAAGGTCAAGAGATCGAGACCATCCTGGTCAACATGGCAAAACCCCGTCTCTACTAAAAATACAAAAAATTAGCTGGGCATGGTGGCTCGTGCCTGTAATCCCAGCTACTCAGGAGGCTGAGGCAGGAGAATTGCCTGAACCCAGGAGGCGGAGGTTGCGGTGAGCCGAGATCGCGCCATTGCACTCCAGCCTGGGTAACAAGAGCAAAACGCCATCTCAAAAAAAAAAAAAAAAAAGAATACATATATATAAATATATATATATACGTATATATACATATGTATATACACACATATATATATATACGTATATATACATATGTATATACACATATATATATATATATACATATATATATAGCCTGGGCAATATAGTGAGACTTTACTAAGCAAAAACAAAAATTCACCAGGCGTAGTGGTGCACACTTGTAGTCCAGCTACTCAGGAGGCTAATGCAGGAGGACTGCTTGAGCCCAGGAGATCGAGGCTGCAATGAGCTATGATTGCACCACTGTACTCTGGCCAGGGTGACATAGTGAGACCCTATCTTAAAAAAAAAAAAGAGAAATATATATATCATGGAACACACTACTGCCAAGAAAGGATAAGGATTCAGGCAAAAAAATATAAACCCTAAGAGTTTATAGAAAATGATCAATGAATAAAGCCATATAAAATGATACGAAGAAAACAAGCAATAACTCCTGATATTAGAACAGAAATGCAAGAATCAAGAGGATGACATAGACAATGACTTGCAGCAGCAAAGGAGAAATACATTGTTTAAAAATGTGTGCATTGGCTGGGCACAACACAGAGGCTCATACCAGTAATCCCAGCACTTTGGGAGGCCGAGGCTGGCGGATCACCTGAGGTCAGTAGTTCAAGACCAGCCTGGACAATATGGTGAAACCCTGTCTCTACTAAAAATACAAAAAATTAGCTGGACATGGTGGTAGGCATCTGTACTCCCAGCTGCTTGGGAGGCTCAGACAGGACAAGCACTTCAACCTGGGAGGCAGAAATTGCAATGAGAAGAGATCATGCCACTGCACTCCAGCCTGAGCAATAGAGCAAGACTCTGTCTCAACTAAAAAACAAACACAAGGCTGGGTGCGGTGGCTCAAGCCTGTAATCCCAGCACTTTGGGAGGCCGAGGCGGGTGGATCACGAGGTCAAGAGATCGAGACCATCCTGGTCAACATGGTGAAACCCTGTCTCTACTAAAAATACAAAAAAATTAGCTAGGCATGGTGGCGCGTGCCTGTAATCCCAGCTACTCAGGAGGCTGAGGCAGGAGAATCGCCTGAACCCAGGAGGCGGAGGTTGCGGTGAGCCGAGATTGCACTACTGTACTCCAGCCTGGGTAACAAGAGCGAAACTCCGTCTCAAAAAAAAAAAACAAAACACAAAATGGAGGAAGGTATATGACCTTCCTCTAGGAGCATTTGACTGGTAAGGGAAAAGTGAGTAGTGAACATGCGTACAACTCCAGTAACTGCACTGTACATGTGGCCTCTCCCAAGAGCTGGCAGGCCACTAAGCATGTGGACAGCCCACCCCAAGGGAAGAAACAAGAGAAGTAACACAAGACTAAGAAGTATAAAACTCCAAGTCAAAGGTCACATGGTCACTTGAAGCTCTCAAGCTGCCTACTTGACCATCTTCCAAGTGTACTTTACTTTCTTTCACTCCTGCTTTAAAACTTTCCAATATGTTTTCACTCCTGCTCTAAAATTTGCTTTGGTCTCTCCTCTGCCTTATGTGCCTCAGTCAAATTCTTTCTTCTTAGTGGCCAAGAACTGAGGTTGCTGCTGCTAACAGTATTGTGGCAGAAATGTTAGTTACAGAGAAGGGGAAAAATCAGGCCACCCTCAGACCCCTACAAAGCTACATTCCATCCAAAACACATTTCTATGTGAGTGAAAAATCTGAGTCTAGAATGCCCATAAGCCTTTCCAGAAAAATATACTTCCCAGTGAGACAGAACTACTGGGAGATTACAGGAGGCACCAGGGAAAAGGGCTGGCAGGGCTTTCACTGTCAGAAGAAAACACAGGGTCTACAAGGTCTGAAAAGAGAAAGTAGGATTTCAAAAATGTATACATGGGTTGCCCCTAAAATATGAACACACATTATCATGCACAATCTGAAGCAAGATGCCTCTGAGCCCTCCTTAAGGCTATTACTTGATAAAATCCAGATAGTGCAAAATAATTCAGGAATAAAAAAAGCTCATTGTAAGAATGGTGATGAACACTGAATCCATTTGTACACAGAACTAAGGCTATCCAAACAGCTGTGATAATTATGATTGCAGCATACAGACTTGTAAATCTTGATAATGTAAAAATGAGGCTGGGCATAGTGGCTCATGCCTGTAATCCCAGCACTTTGGGAGGCCGAGGCAAGTCGATCACCTGAGGTCAGGAGTTTGAGACCAGCCTGACCAACACGGTGAAACCCTGTCTCTACTAAAAATATAAAAATTAACCGTGCGCAGTGGTAGGTGCCTGTAATCCCACCTACCTGAGAGGCTGAGGTGGGAGAAATGCTTGAACCTGGAAGGCAGAGGTTGCAGTAAGCCTAATCACACCACTGCACTCCAGCCTGGAAGATGAAGCATGAGTCTGCCTCAAAAAAAAAAAAGAAAAAAAAAAATGATATTGGCCAGGCATGGTGGCTCATGCCTGTAATCTCAGTCAGCACTTTGAGAGGCCAAGGTGGGCAGATCACTTGAGGTCAGGAGTTTGAGACCAGCCTGGCCAACATGTCGAAATGCTGTCTCTACTAAACATACAAAATTAGCAGGGCGTGGTGCAGGCGCCTGTAAACCCAGCTACTCAGAGGCTAAGGTAGGATCACTTGAACTAGGGAGATGGAGGTTGCAGTGAGCTGAGACAGTGCCAATGCACTCTAGCCTGAGTGACAGGGTGAGGCTCCATCTCAAAAAAAAAAAAAAAAAGATACTGAGGCTGAATGCGGGGGCTCATGGCTGTAATCCCAGCATTTTGGGAGGCCAAGGCAGGTGGATTACCGGAGGTCAGGAGTTTGAGACCAGCCTGGTCAACACACTGAAACCCATCTCTACTAAAAATACAAAAAATTAGCTGGATGTGGTGGTGGGTACCTGTAATGCCAGCTAGTCAGGAGGCTGAGGCAGGAGAATCCTTTAACCTGGGAGGGAGGGGTTGCAGCAAGCCAAGATCATGCCATTGCACTCCAACCTGGGCAAAACTCCGTCTCAAGAAAAAAAATACTGAAATATTTCAAGGTAGAAGTAGGGTATAAATTTCCTTATCTACTATGGTAAGGAGCCAGATGCATACTATCTAAAACTGAAACATAAAAGAATGTAATTTTCTGTTAATAAGAGAAGCAACTTTAAAGAACCCTATTACCAGTCCAGCAACTGCTTCACTTACACTTAACATTCCTCTGTTAATTTGTACAAAAATTTATTCTAAGACTTTTAATTACCATTTTAGTGAATTTCCTATTTTAGGAGAATTATTTTCTTCTAGCCATCCATATAGTCATCTAATTTGCTATCTGTCTTTATGTCAAAAATGATGATTGGAATAATGGTTATTAACATTGATAATAGTTGTAATTTCTGGCCAGGCACGGTTCATGCTCGTAATCACTTTGGGAGGCCAAGACGGGAGGATCGCTTGAGTCCAGGAGTTTGAGACCAGCCTGGGCAACATGGCAAAACCCTGTCTCTACAAAAATACAAAAATTCGCTGGCCAACATGGTGAAACCTCATCACTACTAAAAATATAACAACTAGCTGGGTGTGTTGGCAGGCTACTTGGGAGACTGAGGCAGGAGAATTGCTAGAACCTGGGAGGCAGACATTGTAGTGAGCTGAGAACGTGCCACTGAACTCCAGCCTGGGTGAGAGAGAGAGACTTCATCTCAAAAAAAGCAAACAAACAAACAAAAAAAACCGAAATTTACAGTCCAACCAGTTTTGTTTTGTTTTGTTTTTTGAGACAGAGTCTTACTCTGTTGCCAGACAGTACAGTGGCTCGATCTTGTCTCACTGCAATCTCTGCATCCCAGGTTCAAGTGATACCTCCGCCTCAACCTCCTGAGTAGTTGGGACAATGGGCACGTGTCAGCATGCCAGGCTAATTTTTTGTATTTTAGTAGAGATGGGGTTTCACCATGTTGGCCAGTTTGGTCTCCATCTTCTGACCTCGTGACCTGCCCACCTTAGCCTCCCAAAGTGCTGAGATTACAGGTGTGAGCCACCACACCTGGCCTAAATTTCTTTCTTTCTTTTTGAGACAGAGTTTCACTGTTGTTGCCCAGACTGGAGTACAATGGCACGATCTCAGCTCACCGCAACCTCTGCCTTCTGGGTTGAAGCAATTCTCCGGCCTCAGCCTCCTGAGTAGCTGGGACTACAGGCACATACCACCATGCTCAGCTAATTTTTGTATTTTTAGTAGAGACGGGGTTTCACCTCGTTGACCAGGATGATCTCGATCTCTTGACCTCGTGATCCACCCGCCTCGGCTTCCCAAAGTGCTGGGATTATAGGCGTAAGCCACCGTGCCCGTCCTTAAATTTCTTAAAATAATTTTTTCACTCCCAAATTTTCTATAATTTGCTGACATTTTATAAGTAAACAAAAAGTTTTCCATTTATTTAAAAATAATGCCAGAAATCCACAAACTCAAATTAATAAAGGGCTTTTCACCTAAATTAGCACTCTTGAGCATGCTGACCAGCGCTGGCATAAGCTGAAGCTCAAATATCCTTTGGCCTCCACACTGGCTGCAGGTGGGGAGCTCGGTGACTTCTGATGTAGGGCAGGTCAAAAACAGTGGCTCTCCACTCCATGAATACCTGGGACAAGGAAACAAAGAACCTCGAATCAGAGCCACACAAGTTACAATCCAGCATCTAAGGCTATGCTTTGCAACCTTTCTTTGTTTCTTGCAGAAATCCTGCAGAGGCCCAAAAACCTAGTACCATGGCAGTAAAGCATAGCAAGATACCTGAAAAATCTTGTCAGTGTTCGATTCAGTCTCAAAGGCACTAAAGCCAATGTTCAACTGAATCTAGCTAAACCTGCAACAAAGTCCACACCCAGCTCCACTGCAGATTAATGGAATCAGCCCTCCACATTACTGGCCTTACAGAGGAAGGGGCATGCCTTAGAATAGAAGTCCCCACCCCCTGGCCATGGATCCCCAGGCCATGGACCAGTACTGGTCCGTACCATTATGAACAGGGCCACACAGCAGGAGGTGAGCAACGGGCGAGCGAGCATTACCACCTTATCTCTGCCTCCTGTCACATCAGCAGCATTAGATTCTCATAGAAGTGCAAACCCTAATGTGAACTGCACATGCAAGGGATCTCATTATGAGAATCTAGTGTCTGATGATCTGAGGTGAACAGTTTCATCCCCAAACCATCCCACATGTCCCCCACCCTGGTCTGTGAAAATAGTGCCTTCCACGAAACCAATCCCTAGTGCCAAAAAGGTTGGGGACTGCTGCCTTAGAGGGAAAAAACATTCACTTTAGTTTTTAGGATTTTTTTTTTTTTTTAGATAGGACCTTTTTCTGTTGCCCAGGCTGGAGTGCAGTGGCACAATCACAGCTCATAGCAGCCTTGACCCCCTGAGCTCAAGCAATCCTCCTACCTCAGCCTCCTGAGTAGCTGGCACCACAGATGTGCATCACCATACCCAGGTAGGTTTTTAAAAAAAATTTTGTAGAGACAGGGTCTTGCTGTATTGCCCAGGCTGGTCTCTTGGCCACAAGTGATCCTCCCACCTCAGCCTCCTAAGCTGCTGTGATTACAGGTGTGAGGCACCACATCCAGCTCACTTCAGTATTACTTACTGTTCTTCAATATACAATTTCTGGTAAAAAATTTTAAAAGTTACAAACATACAAAGAAGTAGGAAAATTTAACCTATAAAGAAAGTTAAGCCGGGCACAATGGCTCATTCCTGTAATCCCAGCACTTTAGGAGGCCAAGGTGGGCAGATCACAAGGTCAGTTCAAGATCAGCCTGGACAACATGGTGAAACCCCGTCTCTAATAAACAGACAAAATTAGCCAGGCATGGTGGTAGGAGTCTATAATCCCAGCTACTTGGGAGGCTGGGGAAGGAGAATATTGCTTGAACCAGGGAGGCAGACGTTACAGTGAGCAGAGATTACGCCATTGTACTCCAGCCTGGGCAAGAAGAGCAAGATTCTGTCTCAAAAAAAATAAAATAATAATAAGGCTGGGAGTGATGGCTCATGCCTGTAATCCCAGCCCTTTGGGAGGGTGAGGCGGGTGGATCACAAAGTCAGGAGCTCAAGAACAGCCTGGCCAAGAAACCCCAACTCTACTAAAAATAGAAAAATTAGTTGGCCATGGTGGCAGGCACCTGTAATGTCAGCTACTCAGGAGGCTGAGGCCGGAGAATCGCTTGAACCCAGGCAGTAAAGATTGCAGTGAACCAAGATCATGCCACTGTACTCCAGCCTGGGTGACAGAGAGACTCTGTCTCAAAAAAAAAAAAAAAAAAAGTTAATTCGGGGACCAATCCAAGATGGCCGATCGCTAACATCTCGGGACTGCAGCTCTCAGTGAAGGCGTGGAGAACTAGACGACGCCACACTTTCAGACAAATTCTGGTCGCTCATGGAGCAGAAGATCCCCAGTGGAGGAATCACACGGGTCACCAGCGTGACTTTCGTGGCTGGTGCAGCAGTTCCGCCCGCGCCTCGGCGCAGCAGCTCTCAGAGCAGAGTAAACAGGTTCAGAGGACCCACAAGGGCCCCCAGCATGAAACCAGAGCCCGGCGCAGTGGCTGTGACGGCACCTTGTCGCAGCAGCGCTCAGCACAGAGTAAACGGGACTGGCTCCCCTTCTGACTGAGGTTTGGAGCCCCGGGAAGGCAGAGTCACCCACTACAGACACAAGAGGGAAGCCAGACAAGAGAATCCTGGGCAGAAAAGCATCATCAGTTTTAACACCGCTGCTCTGGCCCTGGGAACTAACAACCTGGACGCCCACTCAAGAGAATAATCTGAAAGTTGGTAAATTCAAAGACCACAGGAGGATAAACTTACAATGACGGGAAGAAACCAGCGTAAAAAAGCTGAGAATACTCAAAGTCAGAACGCCTCTCCCTCTAAAGATGATCACAGTTCCACATCCACAATGGAACAAGGCTTGATGGAGAAAGAGCGCATCCCAATGCTAGAATATCGCTTCAGGGAATGGATAATAACACACTTCGGTGAGTTAAAAGAACATGTTGTAGCCCAACGTAAAGAAACTAGGAATTTTGAAAAAAAGTTTGATGAAATCCTATTGAGAATAAACAACTTAGAGAGGAGTATGAGTGAAATAATGGAACTGAAGAATACAATACAGGAACTCCAAGAAGTTTGCACAGGTTTAAACACTCGAATTGTTCAAGCAGAAGGGATATCAGAAGTCAAAGTCCAACTTAATGAAATAAAACGCAAAGAAAAGATTAGAGAAAAAAGGATAAAAAGGAATGAGCAAAGTCTCCAAGAAATGTGGGACTATGTGAAAAGACCAAATCTACGTTTGATAGGTGTACCTGAATGCGACGGAGAGAATGAATCCAAGATGGAAAATACCCTTCAGGAAATTATTCAGGAAAATTTTCCTAAATTAGCAAAGCAGGTCAATATTCAACCCCAGGTAATACAGAAAACACCACAAAGATATTCCTCAAGAAGAGCAACCCCAAGGCACATAATCATTAGATTCACTAGGGCTGAAACTAAGGAGAAAATACTAAGGGCAGCCAGAGAGAAAGGTCAGGTTACCCACAAAGGCAAGCCAATCAGACTTACAGCAGATCTCTCAGCAGAAACTCTACAAGCCAGAAGAGAGTGGGGGCCAATATTCAACATCCTCAAAGAACAGAATCTTCAGCCCAGAATTTCATATCCAGCCAAACTAAGCTTCACAACTGAAGGAAAAATAAAATCTTTTATGAACAAGCAAGAACTCAGAGATTTTATTACCACCAGGCCTGCTTTACAAGAGCTTCTGAAAGAAGCATTACACACAGAAAGAAACAACCAGTATCAGCCCTTCTAAAAATATACCAAAAAGTAAAGAGCACCAACATAAAGAAGAATTTACACCAACGAATGGATCAAACAGCCAGTTAACATCAAAGGGCAGTAACCCTAAATTTAAATTGACTAAATCCCCCAATCAAAAGACACAGCCAAAACCCAAGGGCATGTTACATCCAGACCTGTTTCACAGGCAAGGATACACAAAGACTCAAAACAAAGGGATGGAGAAAGTTTACCAACCAAATGGAGAGCATAAATAAATAAATAAATAAATAGCAGGAGTTGCAATTCTCGTATTGGATAAAATAGATTTTAAAGCAACAAAGATATAGTGGTAAGAGGATCAATGCAACAACAAGAACTAACGATCCTAACACCCAGATACATAGAGACTTAGACACAATGAGACAGAAAATTAATAAGGATATCAAGGACTCAAACTCAGATCCGGAACAAGTAAACTTAATAAATATTTATAGAGCTCTCCACTTCAAATACACAAAATAAACATTCTAGTCAATACCACAACACACGTACTCATAGGTTTAAATGAAACACTGATTGGCCATTATTAATACCCATTTTTTTTTAAGAATAAAGCAATATTTCCATTCACTCTCCCTCTTTCTTCCTCTCCTTTACTCATTTTTTTCTTCTTTCCTTCACTCAAAAAAAAGAAATCAACTTGTAAACCTCTAGATCCAGGCCAGCAATGTCTCTCTCATTGCTTGAATTCCTTCCTTCCCTTCCTTCCTTCCCTCCCTCCCCCGCTTCCTCCCTTCCTTCATCCCTCCCTTCCTCAAAAAAAAAAAAAAAAAAAAAAGTTAATTCAAGGAGACCCACGGACAAGATGATAAATTTATCAGACAAAAACATTAAAATAACAATAATAAATATGTAAAAGAACCTAGTAGAAAAGGTAAACAGGTATAAACAGATGAAAAATTTAGCACAGAAATGAAAACAAACAAAAAGGATCAAAACAGAAATGCTAGAAATCAAAAATGCTATATCAAAATAAAGAACTTCATTCAAAAATTAACAGCAGATGGCTGGGCAGAGGGGCTCTTGCCTGTAATCTCAGCACTTCGGGAGGCCAAGGCTGGAGAACTGCTTGAGCCCAGGAGTCTGAGACCAGCCTGGGCAACATGCTGGGATCTCACCTCTATCTTATAATAAAATAAAGGAAAAAGTAAAAGTTAACAGCAGGATAGACAACACAATTTTTTTTAATCTGTGAATTTCAAAAAAGGTAAATACAAATTATCTAAAATTAAACAAAAAGGGGGAAAGAACATTTAAGAACTATGGTATAATTTCAAACAGTCTAACATACAAATAAGTGGACACCTAGAGCAAGGAAAGAGAACAAATATTTCAAATAATAATAGCCAAAATGTTTGCAAAATTAATGAAAAGACATCCCACAAATCCTAAAAGATCAGAAAATCTCAAGCAGGATACATGAACACACACGAAAGCATGTAATAGTCAAACTCTTGAAAGCCAGGAAGAAAAAAAGAGACACTTTACAAACAAAAGAGCAAGAATTACAACTAATTTCTTTCTTTCTTTTTTTATTTTGAGATGGAGTTTCGTTCTTGTCGCCCAGGCTAGAGTGCAATGGTATGATCTCAGTTCACTGCAACCTCCGATTTCTGGGTCCAAGCAATTCTCCAGCCTCAGCCTCCCCAGTAGCTGTGACTACAGGCATGTACCACCACACCCGGCTAATTTTTTGTATTTTTAGTAAAGATGGGTTTCACATGTTGGT